GTAGCGTTGCCATCATGTTCAAATTTAAATATGTGCAATACTTTGGGTTATGACCAAATAACTGCAAAACTAATGAAATTCCCATCAGTCTCAGCTGTATTTTGTGTTTTCTGCTAATTAACCAATGTTAGCATGCTAACACACTAAACTAAGATGTTCACCACTGCTATCTTGGCTGTAGACTCTTTTAACAATCAATATATTATTTTGCAATCAGTCCAGTAACCAATATTTTTTTTGGCCTCTGATTGGCTTACCCTAACCAATCTCCCTGCTCATTACCAAACATGAGCAATCAAATCAATGAAGGCAACAAGTACTAGCCAATCAGAGGCAGATTAGGGCAGGTCATGACTTAGCCAACCTGGGAAAACAAAAAATTGGCGTCTAATAACTAAGGCGTGGGTTGTTATCTTGTTCCTAGTTAGACACATAACCCCAGTGTCTTCTTGGATAAGATAAATGTCATAGATTCCCACTTAGGGGGCCAATAGTAGCCTCTAATAGTTAACAGCTCAGCCATGCCATTTTGGATTTTCGATAAAGGTTTTTCTCCTCATGTAGGTCAGAATGCCACATTATGCAGAAATCAAATGAACTCAACTTACTTTTCTTAGTTTGCAAACAGTGAAATAATTGGAGAAAGTTAATTACCTGATGAATACTTAACAAGACATATCCAAAATGATCCAAATATTTTAGGTGTCAAAGGAACCAGAGAATTAAAAACCATTTGTCATGCTGTGGTATGCGATTATTGCTAGCAGCTTCATGTTATTACTTTGTATAGTCCCAGACTACTTCTAGGGCTATAACATTCTGGTGCCTTTGGATACAGCTGTGGCATTTCTTAACACTCACTAACCACTGTGAGCTATGGCTATAATTAGCACTTTGATGGACCCCTGCTACTGAGTTATGACTATGGCTACACTTTATACTCTCATTACTGACCGCCTTCGACTGTGACTATAGTTCTACAGTTTTTAATGGAGTGCTTGACTATGGCTACAACATACAGGTCTCACAAAACAATGGCTGTGAGCTTTAGGTTATGTTAATGAAATAATAATACACCCCAAAATGTCAAAAGCATGATTTTTCATGGTCATTGTTGATGTCCCTACATTTGTCATTCTATTGTGAAGTTCATTTACTTCATTAGAAAGATGACTGGACGTCTAAAGAGACTGATGATAGTTTGTGATTTTGCAATCTAGCCTTCAGTCAGTAAAACCCACCTACGGTATCAGATGCAAAAATAAAAGATGCAGTCTTCCTTTTCATGTTTCCTGCTTTTTTTCTTTCTTTCCTCTTCATTATCTTCATCCGCCTCCCCATCTTTTCTCTCCTCCACTCAGCTCGCTACACCTATCTGTTTGAGTTATCAGTCGGGCTGCTAATGACTGCCAGGCTGTCTGCTGTGATAATGGGCTAACAATATGAGATAATGAGCTAACAGTGGGCTGTTATACAACTCCACTGTAACATACTTGGCTGAGTGCAGAGTTTGTGTAAGAGAAAAAGGAAAAGAGGTAAGCAGGAGTTAAATTGGGGATTAAGGGCTCAGCCTCGGCACAAAGAGTCCCAGACATCGTCACAAAAATAATTTACTTATATTTCTATTGCGGAAAAACACATTACTTGAATCCGAGTCCCTAAAATGAATAGCTACTCAGCTTAGCTCCCTATCTTTTTTTCCCCTCTATGAAATAACTCACCACTCACCACCTACTCTGCACATGTTCAGGACATAATAATGCGATTGATGTGTGTGAACAAGCAGAGGAGAGAGTGAAGCGCCATTTAAACAGACATTGTCAATCTTGCCGAGGTGAGCTAAATCAGGAATGAGCAAGTGTGTCTTTGCTTCTGACTGTAAGTTGATATGATATCCTAATTAAACAATCTCAACACAATGGTGCAGAACAGGGACGCCCATAACAAGTTACATTTTAAACGTTGCAGGTACTGAAAGTCTGTTTCTGTGAATTCCCAAATAAAGGTCACAGTTCTATTGAAGCGCTTCAATCCTCTGCAGTAATTTTGAGCGTTTTAACCTCGAGTTAACACAGTACGGGACTCTACAGTGGAGACCAAGGGAGGTTTGTGCTTATTGTTCACACATTTTATGAAACAGTGAAGGACTTTGCATGCTAACACCTGCACATATTTGCACTTTGCTACTTCTTACAGTGCTATATATTCAGTATGGATTTCTAGCGTGGTGACACAGGCACAATTATTCCAACAATTTTTGTTAAGGTTAACCAAAAATCTGCTTCGCCGTACTGTTACTGCGTAACTGTTTTTCTGTGAAGAAAAAAAAACCACATCTCATCCAGTTTGTTGTTGCATGTGCACAGATTCAAAAGAACCATACAGGGCAGTGTGAGAAAAGTAAGACCGACAAGTAACTCTTGCAATGATTGCAGTCTTAATGTGAGATAACCTGATTATTATTATTTTAACATGTCACTAGCCTTATTAAGAACCTAATGAACATTAATATTGTATATCATTCACTGATCTCTCACTTATGAACACACTCCAATAACATACTGTAATACTGTAAAACTATATTATACTGTAATACTATATAATAGACTAATTTGGGATCTGTTGCATGAAAGGTACTGTCAAAACCAATCACAGATATAGAGCTTATATAAATCTTTTGTATTTTGTGCCTGGTTCGAGCCTTTGTGAAAAGTCCTTAGAATAAAAACATAAATAAAAGAATTCAAAAATGCACTTGTTCTGACTTAAAAGAAAAAGTATCACTAAACAATTTTATTCATACACACTGCCTTCTTGACTATACAGTTAAATAATTAAAATGACTATAATGATGCAATATATATGTAGCAGCAATATAAACAGTCATACTTTTCTTTAATCTGACTGATGTTGTGGATCAGAATACTAACATTTTATATGCCTGTCAGATTGCATCTGACTCATTAGCGGTTTTGCACATTATCTCCATTCTGTCAACCCTGTTATTTGCCCATATAATCTAATGAAGCAGAGATACCATGAAATATTAAATGATAAAAATAATTTTCTAAACCAAGCAGTGTGGGAATGGAAGTGCTACAACATCAGCTAAAACTGACAGAAGCAGAAAGAACACCCAGAGAATTACAGAGGGGGCCAATATATGCAGAATATCAATGCTTTGTTATGGTACTTTACTGAAAATCTGCAACATATGGAAATCTCTCTGGATCTGAAGCCAGCACATAATCCACAATTGTTCCAGCATACTGTTCTACAAATCTGAGTGCTGTGAATACAAAGGTGCTTCACTGGACTGAAGACAATACCGTCTTATTCCAGAGCGGAATGAGCTGACAGGAGCACGGTGCATGATTGGCAGCGGAACAAAGAAGAAAGAAAGTTAAAGCTCACCAGGAGGGAGGCAATGCATATACGCCTGTGTGAATGTGCATACAATATGTGTGTGTGTGTGTGTGTGTTTTGGATCTTCTGATTTCTAAAAAATATGCATTTATTCACATTCTACACACACACACTGGCCCGCACACCAGGTTATGGCAGCTCATTGTTGAAGCAGCCTTGATAGCTTGTGTGAAATAGCTCAGACTAACCATATGTTTCACTGCCTCCCCCTCTACTGTCAAACCCTATGCTATGGTTTCTCAGGTGATCACGGATGAACTAGAAAACATCCCTCTCTCTCTTTGTTCTTTGGGAGTCATACATATGGCTTTATTAGCATTCGAAGAACACTCCACCATGAATCTAGCTTTTATCAAACACTCACCACCACTAAGCTTTAAAGGTGGCTCTATAAAGTCTGTATGATGCTTGTAGAGAAAAGCAGCTTTCGTCAGCTTGGAGTCACAACAGTCAGAACTGATTCCACCATTGAGCCAGAGTCTTGGTCAGAACTTCTCATATCACTCCAGCAGCATTATCCACTTCTCTACTATTGATCTTCACGTTCAATTCATTGCAATCATCCTCTCTTTACGAATATATTATTCAATTCATTACTTCTGATGAAGTGTCTGAGAAATGTGGAGTCGATTATGTGACAAGAGCATCTGGCAATATTGTGTAGAGGTTTGAACTTAGGCTGTTAGCAACAGATAATTGGATTATACTGCAGGACTGCTCTAAGGAGTTTCTATGGTTTTTAACTAAGTTTCTGATACTATGCTTTTGCAGTGACTCTTGGTGACCATTGGAATCCATTCTAATTAAGAAATAATTTCCTGTTCCTTGTTGCAATACTGAGCAAATTCTAGTAAATAGCAATTTTCACTTAATCACTTAAAACAGCATTTTATTTCATAAGTTTAAAAAGGAATCTGAGTCTTTGTACATCCTCTGAGAGGACAGACGTGTTAGGCCTCTCTAATCAGCTTGCCACTTTTACAAAATGCCCTTCCTTTCAGCCAGAATTGATCTGGAGAGCAAAATATTTCCGGCTCTAGGAAGAGTCCTCTAATACAATCTATCAGAGGATGCACAGATGTGGTTGGAGTGGAAGGGGGGGTATTTCTGACTTACTGCTGACAGCACTGCACTGGTGTGATGTACTGGACTGAGTCTTTCCAGAACTGAATTAGGCTCAGATTACACCGATTACACAAATTGCAATAAACAAATTCAACTGGATGAGTCTCCTTTACATAATCAATATTAAACTTTAGTATGAAATCTAAAATTTATAAGAGTACTTAAGAGCCTTAAGAGTGATACAGGGATAACCACCGAATATTTATACCTTTCAAACATTTAAAATTACAATTTGAAACTCAATAGGCCTTTCAGTGACAGTGTACCTAAAAAATATAACCATGATCTTTTTTTACAATAAAAAAAAAAATCTTTTCATTATATATAGTACTGATAAAGAGTGTAACCGACGGCACCTTTTATCTAGCTCTGTTTTTAATCTGTAATTTACAGTATTGTAATGATAGCAACATATTGCAACACATATTAGACAATTAAGTGTTTCCTACCTCCAGGATAGATGTCTCTTATTCCATTTGTTCTGAGGAGTCAGGCCTCGTTTCCTGCGGCCCATTGTCACCTCTGCCTCAGACACATCTGGCAGAGAACATCTGGGTGTTTTCATTAGGCCCAGTGTGGCTTGGTCTGAAGAGGAGAGGAGATTGTTGTGTCAAAGAGATGCTTATTCAACTTTATGGGAATTTCTGAGAATTAAATCGTTCATATTCATACATTTTGCCTCCATCCAGTCAAAGTACCAACTCTCCCACATGATTCCCCCATAAACAAACAGCTACATACCAAAGACTCCGGTCTCCTTCAGCCCTCCAAACTTCTGCATGGCTTTGATAGCCTTGGTCAGGGCCTCCTTGGTCTGAAGCTGACCAGTCACTGGGTCAGGGGGCGGGAGGTAGCCAAACTTACTCAGCCAGTCCTGGAAGGGAAACAGTAGACACAGAGTTCAAGAGTCATCACAGGCATTTCAAGGACTCAAAGTATCCCAAAGCTCCTGAGAAGGTTGACACCTGTTCATGTTTACTGTCTGTTGATACTAATGTGTCTAAGCACATGTGCACATTCAGGTTTTGAGAAGTTCAACAAAGACGCAATTCAATTGCATGTTGAATTATTAATAAATTACAGTACTTAAGGTGTCATTTCTCCATCTGTGCATGTGTGTATGTCTGTCTAAGCAACCTATTTATAGATCATTAAAGACAGAGATTGTTAGATAGTAGTGTCTAAAAACAGACAAATGTAGTTCCACCATCACCATTCAAATACACATTTGTTTTTGTCATTTGTGATGTGTTGTTGATGTAGGCTTACCTTTACCTTAACCATAAGCCATACATTAACCAACAGCCAAGTTGTAGCCCTAAAATTAAATGATTTACTTTGTGAGGACAGCTTTTTAACACCAGATGTGAGTTGTGTCCCCACAACGTGTCTGTGTGAATATTTCTTTTTTTACATGAATAATACAAGCACACACACACGAACATTCACAGGTTCTTAAAAAGAAACATATTCCTGCAAAAATAGAAGACATATATATAAGGGTAACACTGCAACTCCATATCCATTTGAGACCAATGAAGCTACTGCCAATCAATGCAACCTAACTGACTGCCTTGGTTGATTTTGGTACATGTAAGATCTGAGCTGCAACTTGAGCATCGCTCTTTCGCTCTTGCCTTTTCTCGTCTGAAATCTTTCTTTATCTTGTTTCTTCCCTTCATCTGTCTTCACTTCACTAAAGCCTCTCCCTCCCTCCTCATGATCTGACAGCATGTAAGAGATGGCAGATAAAAAAAATAAATAAATAAATAAATAAGGTTTTTGATCAGAACTCATCAGGGGTAAGTGACATGGATCGATAGCAATGCCGGGAAAATCCCAATAACTCAATGACTAACACTGCTGGCTGATAATTGCCCCCTCATCCTTGCCTTTGCCATCCCTGCAGAGGGCTTGGGAAAGGTTTACAGGTAAATTGAATTGACCCTTAGCAACATAAGGCAGGATGAGAAACAATAACTATTTCCTGTAAAAGTTTCAAACTGTAATGCCAGGACTAAGCAGGAGAGGTCAAAGAACTTAAAAGAAAGCAGGGAAAGTAAATTGACTATGAATCAAAGAACACAAGTGATGGCAGAGTTTTCAGTGTTACTACTGTACTGACCAAAAACACTAAAAATAAGTCAGAGGTGGCAAGAAACGTGAGTGTTTAGACAATAGGTATAGGTTTTAACCTCCCAGGTTAGCCAAGCTTATTTGGAAGAAAAACAAAATGTATTATCCGAATTTGTCTGTTTTATACATCCATCTCAGTTTACAGACTGTCACTGTGTCCCAAATCCACACTAATTCTAAGCAGGTTTGAGTATGTATTGTGGGAAAAGTGATTAAATTAAGTACAAAACCTAGTATAAAGCATGTGTACTAAATAGGGGGGATTTTTGAGTGTGCTGTTCATGGACACTAATCCTCCACAAGGCAAAGCGCAAAGGAAATGAAGTAGCTGCTCATAGCTTAAAGAAAATAAATACATTGGGAATGGGGCTAAGAGAGCTCCAGACGCCAAATGTTGGAATACAAACAGTAAGTTTCAGACGTGAAGAAAAAACATTTTGTTGATAATATTGATTTAAAAAATTTTTTTGTACAAATAGTGTACAGTATTACAATTTGTATGTAGCATATACTGTACACATAGGTATAGATTTGTGACATCCTGGTTCAACATAAATAAATTCCTGTTGTCCTTGTGCATGGAGTGTTTTCATGTGCAATAAGGGGTTATTACCAACATTTTGGGTGCACTCACTCACGAGTTTACCTCCAAATAAAGTGGTTCATCTAAACTGCTGGTCTGATTACAGCTTTACAGCCAAATTTCAGTGATTTCTGACAGATAAATATGACGGTCATATAAAAATGAGAAACAAGTTATACTCAACCTGAAATTATCTTTAAATCAAACTGTGTGCATTGTGTGAATGTGCATCCATCCATACAGACAAGAGGAGGATTAAGTTCTTCTTCTCTCCAAGCAAGGTGTGCAAGTGATGGATTACATCTGTGCTGTCTACAAAACCACAACTCCCTGTTTTCACACACTACTCATAAACTCACTACATCAAACTTTTTTGTGGAGCCAGCAACTAATTTAAACCCTGACATCGTAGCTCACTGGGGGGGAAAAGCTGTAAAACCTGCCAACGAGTTCAGTAACATGCTGAACACTGCTAAATTATATACAGGGATGTCACTATGTTTAGGTGGAGTGGGTGTACTTTTAAAAAGGCTGCACACAAGTTCAAACAGAGAAACTAAAAATACTAAATAACTAGATAAGGAGAACAATACATTTAACCACACTCACAATAAAGTAGCAACATTTCACCCTCAGATATGATCACAGACAGCTAAAAGACAAAATGTGTAAGAGAGTGTAAGAACAAAGAAGGAAGAAATGGAAACGGTTTAAATAATTTACAAGCATCTCAAATTTAATAAACCAAAAAAAAAGTATTTTCTCCAGGGGTCACCCTTGAAATGATAATAAGAGAAATAAGGTAAATGAGCGCAGAGAGGGGAAAAACAAAAACAGAAATTTACCTTCTCCAAATGTCCCACTCACAAAAAGAGGACACAGACGACGGACTGTTTTTTATTAAGATACACAGTTAAGCACAGACTCAAACATACATATGTGTGTGTATACATACACATCCTGAATGCAAAAAAAAGTAATGTCCAACACCAGTTTATCACCATACTGCATCCCAAATGAAAAGCATTTCTTAGAGCCTTTGCTACTACAGTGTTTGCTTCAACAATTGCAGCAGTGTTTTAATGGCTGTGTTGTGTCCTGCGTAAAATAAGAATGTGGACTATTTTACAGTCTTGTGCTTGTAAAGCAGAACTAAAGAACATCTTGAATGGCACAGTGTCAAGTTCAAGCACTGCTTCAAGCGACAAAACAACTAATTATTTATTCAGGAAGCTAAAAGTATATGTGGAAAAAAGATAGAGGAGAGCATACAAATAAACATTCTCTGTCAAAAAATAATCAAGACTTTAAGGTCATCCGAAGAAAACCTTCAAATTGTATGTATGTATGTACTGGCTTTGGATAAATGTGACAAAATAACAGAAGCAGTTTAGAGAAGACACCGTAACCTTATTTTTGGCAAAGATTTATGCATAATTAAGTTCACTTCAAATGTGTGTAATTAGTACCTGATCTAATAATGCAGCAATTTATTCAACAATCAGCAACAATACGACTGCCTGAACGTGTTCTGCAAGTGAAGGAGAGCTGTGTTAAGTGCTGCGATTTGCATAAGATCAGCAACCTCAGAAAGTAATCAAAGAAATCAAAATGCAGTGATCCTGAAATCAAAACCTTTATTAACCCAAGTACATAAAAAAAAAAAAAGAGGATTAATTCAACAAACTCATAAAATGAAAGAGCTGGACTGCCATCGAGATCAGTGAATGGTACATTAAGTTCAGGTTTGATGGGTACATAGCCACAACTTCACATTGTCTTCTGTTTGGTATTACAAAAGTCAGACCTAGTTAACTGATCCTTTATTGATCCCTGCAGTGTTATGTGTATTATCAAATAACTTACCTGTTATTTGTGCAATACATCCTTAAATGCATAGAATGGAAAGAGGCACACTTCGGTGAATGCAAACAAGCTGCACTTGAGAGTTTGCCTGTATGATGAGTGCCAGGCTTAAATGTTGTATAGGGCAATTCTTCTCCATTTATAATATGACTGCGAGACTTAATGGAAACAACCACGATAACTTTCTCCTCTGTGTTCTCTCTCTAAAGGGGAATTCAGAGCTCTGGCTCAGCTGCAGTCCAGCCCTGAAGCTTGCTATTCAAAGACTTCAGCAGAGCAAATGCTTGCTGACGTGGGGGCTTGACCCCATGTCCCAATTCAGGCCCAGGGGGTCTTCACCACTTAGCTTTCTTGCTGCTCAAATGACCTGCACAGTCCTGGTGTGTTATCATACCAATTTGATTGGTGTGTTTAAGCCTCCCCAATAAAACTTTGAAATATGTTCCTATAAAATTAAATAAGAAGGAAGTCACATGCTGTTTTGTTCAAACTCTAGTATCTGTATCTTTTTCCCCCTACAATAGCTATAGCTATATACACAACCATAAATGTCCTAAAAAACGTTTTATGGTTATCTTAAGGCACCTCAAAGCTTTTGATAATTACACAACCAGTGTCGATGCATGCTAATGACGTATTCCACCAGCTGTAGCCTCCGTCGCTACAGTTGCTCCCCCCTCAATTCTGACAAACCAATCATGGCGGGTAAAACGCATCACTACCAGGGCGCCAGTGCTGAAATGTTACTGCAGACACCTGGTATACTTCGAATACAGAGATATTTACCTGGCAGTGATATGTTTAATCAGCATTGTGTGACCTCGTTTGGCGAGGCAGACGTTTGTTTATATGTAAAAGACCTGCACTCCAGCTTTATAGGGCTTGAAACCCCATTTCTCTCAGTCAGCTTACTATGAACACACAACTGTATGCCTATGTAGGAACAACTTTCGTTACTTCAAATTTCTGTACTTCAATAAAATCGGATCAAACCAACCCCCATGCCACTCTGTTGAAGCAGATTAGCTAAGATTTTGAATGTAAATACTATTAATAAGTAATAATTTGATATTTTTTTGCAAACTTTAACTTCAATTGCTGCTTATATAGTCATTCATATTTAATGTTACAGAGGAATATTTAAGATTTCCAGATTACTTCTTCGACTCTTACAGTCATGTTTGTGTGGAAATGTCTTTAGTGAGTCCCTCTAGTGCTCTGCAAAAATGACACCCCCATGTTTTCCTTCCCTTTTAAACTGTATCATTTGAATTCTGGCAGCTGTGCAGCATTTAATCAATCTGAACAACACTTCATCACTGTCAATAAGCTGACATTTATCATTCGCTGTACAGTTCGTGGGAGACAGGCCTGCACTGATGCACTTCACTGTGGTACAATTAGAAAGCCTCCTAGACCAAACTCGTCTGTTGATGTACCACCTACTGCAACAGTCAATTTTCCCCAGCATGTAACGCCAGCAGATTGAGCTCTCAGTCTTAAGGCATCCTTTCTACCAAATCTGTTGAATTCAGTATGCTCTTTTCTTACTTTTCTTATGTTTTGGATACCTCAAGTGCCTTGGATTGGTAGTATGATGATCTATATTATGAGACAATATAGATCTATCAGCTGTCAGAGATGTTACTGTTTATACCAAGGTAGCAAGCCCTTCTTTGCTATGTAACAATGTTTTCACTCTCTGCAATTGCAGAACTTGTGACCCATGTATGAACATGCAAGAGCCCTGTAGGGCTCACACATTTATCTGTGATTGGCAAGCAACAGTTATTTCTTAAATGTGACGCTGCACCCCTTTGTGAAATGCTTTCGAGTCACTTTTAAAAAATGGGCCTCAGGACTTTTTGGATTGGATTGGATTTACAGGATTTTTGCATTAATTTGATGGAGTAGTCCTACTTTGATCTCAGGTATTTACTTCACAGGATTAGCCGAAAAACCAATTGGTTATTTTATCTGTAAACAGTTTCTGAATTGAATTTCATCGAAACAAACTGTATCACAATATCACTGGTCTCAAACTCTAATTACCTGGGTGCCACTTGGAAAGGGAAGTTTCTGTTTAGATCCATGTTTCTCACCAAAATGCATTGTGTGTAAGGGTGGTCAGATAGTAATATGATTGCCTCAATTTAAAAAAAAAGTGCACCAGATACAATTTGAGATTAACTCAGGATACAAAGTTTCTAATATCTTTACACTGGTAAAAAATGGCCCTATGCCACTATTTAGAAATGTGACCAATCATTTTATATCTAAATTGATTGCTGATCTTCAAACTGTTTCTCAAGTTGAACTAAAGAACCAAAGAAATAAAATCCAACTATCTGTACCATATTGAATTGTATAGCATCGTGTGCCATTGTGTTCAATCAAATCATGTTGAACTGCACTGCTTCGCAATAGGGGTGAGTTGTATTGTATTGGTACTTGCTTCATATGTATCTTTAATGTATTGGATCATCGGCAATGCATTGTGATGCATATCGGAGAGGATGCACATCACTAACTGTGTGTATCCTTGTGGTCTCTAAATGTGCTGAATGTATTTCCTTCCTTATAGAACATTGCCTCATAAAATATTTGCAAACCCTGCTTTGTTTACTTGCTAGCAGTCTTCTTCACTGTCTTTGTTGCTGCATTGCTGAATTTCTAGGTACATTTCCGCCACCTGTAGGTACATGGAATAGCTTGAAAACATTGGCAGGAATGTATATTGTGTAACCCATGTGTGCCTGCATATGCATGCAATAGCAGTTGTGTTAAATAAAATTGTTACAGTGCTTTTACTTTCAAAAGGAAGTTTAAACTGTATTGAAATATGTGGATATGACTACCAATAGATACTTTTCACTGTCCCTTTTTAGCTAGGAGCCTAAAAACAGGCCAACCCTCAACTGTCTTGTGAAGCCAAGCCACAGCTGAGATGCATGTCTCTATAAAGACAATTTTTGTGTTTTGTTTTTGCAGACTTGCTCCTAAATTAAATGATAACCTCAAAATAAATACGTGAGGAATAAAATGACATGGGATTAAAGGTTTTAAAAATTAATTTGCGGGATGTAACAGTAAATCCTAAACATCACAGCTAAGATCTGGCCCTCAGGCCAGTTGTTTAAGACTGTTTCCACAGAAATTACTATTGTGATGTTAGATTCTATTTGTATTGCACCCACCTGCTCTCTTTCAATTACTTGTTTGTGACTAATCCATGGAAAGAGATTCTGTACTATAAAATACTCTAAGGTAGATCTACAAATACAAGCTTGCACATGCGTTTTGAGGACCTTCTTCTACAAGAGTCAGTTCATTAATCTAAGTATGCAAACACACACACTCATGCACTAACACGAGAGTTCTTGCATACACATTACACATGCACAGGGTCAAATCTTTTATTTATATCCACATTAAAACAATGATAACAGAGAACCTAACACATGCTGCACATGCATTCTGCCTTTCACTTTCACACACGTAATTGAGTAGTAGAGTGGGTTTTGCAGGGTTCGACTTACTCCCAGTGTGTGCTACAGTATCTTGATGTGAAGGATAATTTATCTCCCTAATCCTGAACCCTGGTCCCTGTAATCCTTTAATTCAGAAAAGTCTGGAGTACACAAGAAGCTACAAAGTCCTAAGAAATATTCTAAGTGAAAGAAGACAGACAGAAAGAGAATATAGGGCCTACAAACAGTCCTAGCAGAGAATTTAGTAGTGACATTAAGTAGGCCTACATCTTTCTTCACCTCATTAGAGTTTATGGTATTTATAGTATGGTATGGTATATTAGTGTTTATGTATATATAGAGCCTGTTGGCAATAGGAGTCAGTGCTGTCTGACCTCGACTTTCCCTAAATCATCTGTTTCTCAATAGCTAGATATGTGTAGCTGTGGACAAAACAAACAGTGAGAGGGTACTGCTCACTGACTTTCTGCAGAAAAGCTGATTGTCCAAGCCAAGAAAAAAAAAATTGAAGTAGAAAGCCAAGCTTCATGTGTGTGAGACAATGATTAATATGGGCACAGACGTGAAGCGTTGCAGAATTGCCGATACATTGGTGATCAGTGCAGCGTTTGAAATGGGAGAGTTGAGACGGAGAGACAGTGTGTGGGTGAGTGAGTTTGAAGCAGAAAAGGACAGAGTTTAATAACTTTGTGCTTTGTTGATGCAAATACATTTCAAATCTGTCTGTATTCACGTTTTACATCCCTCACCAAAGCCAGTCGTAAAGAATTCAAAAACGCATTTTCTCTCCAATTTTAAGTGACATTTTTCTTACCTGAAAACAGCTTTTCCAGGATTGATCAATCCTGAAATGCTGGCTTCTACTGTCTGACATAAGAAACAGAAAAATGCGGAAATGAGAACAACTAAATCCTGAGTTTGGCTATGGCCACACAGACGGAAAGGACTGAACAAAGGTTTACAGTCCAACTGAAATCACTTTAATTTCTCTCCATGCATTAGACACTACCTTTAAAATACATATTGACATTATATTTGACTGACAAATATAATGTCAACATGTTTTTTAAAGGTGGTCTACATCTATCATAGTATTTTATGATTAAGAGAAGAATAAAAGGTCTTTGGGGAAATATTGAGTGTCTGTGTTTGACTGACAGCCTCTAGCAGGCTTGGCTCTGGTAACAAATACTGGCAAGGAAACAAGAGAACAAGTAAACAAAATTGCTGCTAACTTACAAGCCATGACCAGATAGTGTGTTGTTAGCAATATATTAAAGCGTATAGCCTGATTTATACTTAGGCATCCAATCTACGCCATGGGTACGTAACCGCAACTGTGATTGGTCCGCTTGGTTAGTGTGTGCATTGTCTGAGATTGGGAGGTGACTCAAACAAAACCCAGATTAGTTAATAATGCTGTTTGAGAATCCCTTAGACATGTGTATCCTCATATTTTCAAGATTGGTAAATATTTACATCTTCCTATCCTAACTCTTCTTAAGGCATTTTCCCACTTGCACCAGCCTCTGCAAATATTCACTCATCTCTCATTCACTTTAATTGACACCCATGCAACTCCTGCACTAACAAACAAGTTTCCTGTTCCAGTGTGAGCTCCAGTTGGCTCTGGCAGACTCGCAGGTCAAAGGTCGCTCTTGTTGAACTTTTTCAAATAGAAACAATGCATCCTGTGTTTGAAAATGGAGGAGTCATTGTTGTAACAGCGTACTGTACAATATCACACGAATGGACCACAAACTGCAGCATCAGTCTCTCACTTGGCTCATTATTTCATTATTACTGATGTTAGACTGTGACATCGTACATACGTACATTGTACGTCTGTCAGTCCGTCAAAAGCGCAATCAGTTGCCCCCGTGCACGTGGCCTCTTCCACAAAACCTCCCTGTTTAGCCCTAATGAACAGCTGCAGAGTCCCTCCATCTTCAGCCTTACGGACAGGAAATGAGTCACTGGGAGACATTTAACCTTACGACCTCAATGACTCTCAAAGGGTTATGAAGTAGCACAGTCCATTATAGTGTTTATATTGTTCCTTGCTATCTCAAGGATGAGGTCAGACCTTTGGCCAACCCGCCGGACTTTTAAAAGGTTATGAAGCTGCACGGCAATAGAAGAAAAAAGTTTTGAAAAGTAAGTGCTGCATTAAAGTTTCGAGATACCATCATGTTAGTCCATTAATTACTGCCAATTAAGGATGAAACTTCCCCTTGCCTCTTGGGTGCTTTCTGCTGACAACAAAGCATGAAGGCTTTTGTTTTTGCTTTTGGAAGAAAGACGGGGAGCTGTTCAGAGGAAAAATGTGGTGCACACAAAGTAATCACTATAAGAATAAAAGAAATCAGAAGTAAGAAAAGAAGTAAGAAAATAAAAGAACACAAAAAGAAATGGACTAGATACTAAGCCTGCAGCTGCTGTATCTTAGATTTTTGGTTATATATTTCACCTAAATTAGTGGTAGGATTAAAAGGATGAATGTGTTGCCAAAAGTCAAACACTGTTTATAGCAAACCGGAGCTTGTTCAGATATGCTACAAAATAATCTGCGTCAATCAATCAATTTAACATGTCCTAAATGTACCTTTCTGGACCTCTTGTGAGCTTATTTCTAAAGCCCAGTGTATTATTGTGATGGGAAACAACAACTGGTTCAACCAAAAATTCTCAAAATGCCTTGTATCACAACAGTGAGCCAGTCAGCCAGCATGCACAATAGCAGGACCCTGAAACTGAAGCAGCTAAATGGAATTCAGCCATCATGAATTTTATTCGATGATGATCGATCATGCCATTTTACTTCATAGATTACAGAACTGGGTTGGCATTTCTGGTACAGCTTTAAACTGGTTTCATTCCTTTTGACTAAATAGATGCTTTAATGTCTGCATTCATAATCATGTATCCTCCTCTGCTCCCCTGCTGTGTGGCATCTCTCAGGGGTCCTGACAACACTGAAATCCTTTTAATTGGACCTAACAGTTTTGTCACTGCAGTTGATCAGTTTATTGGACCATTACGCACAAATATCAAACCTACTGCTAAGAATCTTGGTATCATCTTTGACTAGCATATGACATTTGACCATCATGTTACAAAACTTGTCCAGTTCTGTTTCCTTCAGTTACGAAACATAGCAAAAATCAGATGCTTCTTGTCTTCGAGAGATCTTAAACTAATAATTCAAACATTCTCCCATCTAGATTACTGTAATTCCCTCTACACGTGCCTCAGTCAAGCTTCCTTAAATCGTTTACAGTTAGTCCAAAATGCAGCCGCCAGACTTTTAACCAGAACCAGCCATCAGTCCCACATTACTCCTGTTCTCGCATCCCTCTGTTGGCTTCCTGTAAAACCTCAGAATCAACTACAATATCCTGCTGATTACGCTTCCTGACCTTGCCCTCAGTTACATTTCCAATTTCCTTGCTCCTCATTCTACTCCTCGACCACTGTGCTCCTCATTTCTTGGCCTTTTATCCATTCCCCACTAAAGGTGACCGTGCCTTTGCTGTTTTAGCCCCGATACTGTGGAATCATCTTCCCCCAATCACTCAGGTTTGCTGAATCCGCGGATTGTTTTAAGCGGCTCCTTACAACCCATCTCTATAGGCAAGCTCCTTTTGTTTGTTTACATATTTTTCTCGTCTCTCTTTTTTAATTTATTCTTTTCTTCTTGTATTATTCTTCCATGTGTTAGTATCTATATGTTCCCTATGTATGCATATGATTGTGTGTGTACGTATATATGCATATATGTGCATATACGTGTGTATGTATGTTTTTTTATATTTGTTTGTTTGTGAAGCACTTTGTAACTGTATAAATAAAGCTTTACTTACTTACTTACTTGCTATTATCCACACCTGTGCTTTTCCTATTCTGACATGTCAAAATGTCCTTATATCTTTATTAAAAAAAAGACTTTTGGAACAGTCTCGGACACTGGAACTGTCTTTATAAATCTCACCACATGTTGGGAAAGTAAAGATTTCCAATGGGAGCTGAACAGAACACAATTTTGCTCAAGTGAATTTCACCATGGACTGTTTTGGTCAAATTCTGCTGTGGACAGCAGTGAAGAGTAGGGATATCACAATACCAGAAATTTAGTCGATACTCATACCAGTGAAATTCTACAATTCTTGATACCTAATTCAATACCACAGGAAAAACAAAAAAATAAATTTAGACATATATATTATGCACATAGACAGGCTTACTTTTTATAATTTTTTTTTTTACCACAAGCTGCTTATATACACAGACAACTAGTGTTTTTTGTTTGAGAACCTGTGAGAACCTGTATCTTCTCGTTGGTAAGTACATTCACCTTATCGTGAGATGGAAACCGCAGCGTATCCTATCTTCACTAAAGCGGGGCCAGAGAGCATTTCAGACAGCATAGTGTTGTTTATAGAACGACAACTAAAAGGAGGGAAACACACCAAAGCTGCCGATTGATTGCTGTCAGACCCAGGGTAGCTGGTCTTTAACAGAGTACACAGTAAGAGGTCTCACTCTGCCACTATTTCCCTGTACCATAAACGTCCCCCACACAGTCATTCCCTTCTTTTCTTCTTCTTAGTTATTTATAGTTTTTATATAATCCAATACTGTACAGTTTTATTCCATCATTTTAGTCCAGTCACCCAGGTTGAGTAAAGTGCACAGAGTAAAGACATTTTCTCCAGCTGCTCCCAGGTCTTTGAACAGCTTCCTCCTTTAAAGTGAGTAATTGTACCATAATGTATAATGTTAAAATTAATCTTATGAAATTGTTAGTCAAAGTCAAGGTATTGGTATCGTTACTGGTACCCAGCACTGCTTCTTCCTCCTGCACACTCTGCAGGCACAACCCCTCGCCTAGTATTTCCAACATGTGAGAAAACATCGGACACAGCTGCACTTGTAGAATAGAACATGATATTTCTTTCTGGAGTGGGGACTAGACATTTTTCTGTTCACAACTGCATTTATGGTCGCGTCTCCCTCTCTCTCTCTGAATGTAGTGAGTATCCATTTCTGCACTTCAGAGAGAGCCTGTTACATTGCATTCTTTGTAGCTTTAATGTTGCTAGGTTCTCCAGTTACTTCAGTGCTGTTTATTGTGCGTCTTTTAGAGTTTATAATTAGCCCAAAATAGGTTTAGGAAGCCCATTTTTACACGTTTTGGAAAGGACTGGGAACTGAACCATCGGGCAAGCAGCCAAGAACTACTGGAAATGTCACGAGGAGCTGGAAAATGCTAACAGCCAGAAAATATCAGTGTGTGCAAGTATGTGACTGACAGGCTGAATGAGTTTCCTGTACTTTAAAACATACCATTACCAAACATCTACATTATGCTGCAGTGGAACCATCTCATTTTTTACTTCTACAAGAGGAAATGCTTCAAGAATGAGAACTTATCCGTACACTAAAAGTACCTGTTTCAACAAAATCGGTTGGAAGATGGTGGTTTCATAATCAAGGTCATATTTGGTGCAGATATGATACTAAGTGTCTGCTTATGTATATGACTGGCAAGATGATATTAAGTAGTTAGTATCATGATGTGAGTGGTTAGATCTCCAAATGCAGTAACGAAAATACCCCAAAATGAATTCCTGCCTACTATAGAAAACAGCCTTGACAAAGTGAGCAAAATCTCCACTCAAATGACATACAAGCCAACTAACACATATCACACAGATGTAAAAGTCTCACATCAAGCAATCCTCTGCTTCTTATGTTGCTCTCCAGTGGGGAGATTTCTCTCAGCCAAATCTTATCAGAACATCCACGGGTGTCAGCGCAAAGATCATTATTTTATTATTTAAAGTTTTAGCTGCTTCCTAATTTGTATCACCAGCTTATTCAGAGGGAGGTGGTTTACTTAAAGTATTACACTGGGACGATGTAGGAGGATCCAAGGAATGAAAGCCTAAGTGTGTTTGACCGAGAAGCTCCTAAAAAAACATTCCAATGGCATAACCTGAGCGTAAACACAATTCACCAAATAATTGAAGGATTTAGTCTCATTTGTGCCAACAGATACGATCAAAGCGGGAGAATATAGGGGGGATTGAAAGAGAGGGAAATTGGGGGTGACATGCAGCCTGAATGACACGTTTAATCGAACAGAAAATTGAGGCTGGATTGCCAGGCGGTAAGAGAGTGAGAATTAATCCATGCCTAGAAATCATTCGTCTACTCTGATGCATTTTCCTCACCTTTCCTCTCACTGCTTTATACTGAACATGACCTCTCTCTCCTTCTTTCCCATGCATGTGTGTATCCAGGGTTTACAGCTTGCACTCCATTTTCTAATTGCTTACAATCCTCCAAGTCAATTTTTAAAAAGCCATGCCAACCATTATTTTTTCATCGAGTGCCCAATTTATGTTTTCATTAACTGTCATATCTGCCAAATTAATATAAATAAATATAATCTCAAACTGGCCTGGAATTACTTTATTGGACTTAGCAAAAGGTTTATGGACATCCACTGTTGCAATTAAGATAGGTATATATTAATTTGGATAAGTCATTTGTTTTAATGAGTATAAGGAATTTCATTAGTGTAACAAAATGAAAGCCAAAGTTGTGGATTGTTTTACTGAGAGAGAGAAAGAGGGGAAAGAGAGAGAGAGAGAGAGAGAGAGAGAGAGGGAGAAAGGGAGAGAAAGAACGTAGCTAGACAACTGAAGCTTCAAAACCTTTATAACACACAATAAAAAAGCAGTAAACCGAACGACAACTATGCGTAGTTTTTTAGAGAACCGCATGTAAAGTTGAACTCGGGTCAATAGGCAAGACCACTGCAACTGAATCAGAGTCAGTTGTGAGCAGACAATCATAGACCACTTTTGTGAGGGTGGTTTTTTGGCACCATGATCAAAACCTCACCTTAAAACGGGCAAACCAGCATACTTTACGCTGAAAATGAAAAAAAAAGTTATTTGAGAGAGAAAAGTCTGAACT